AAAAAAAAAAGAAAAGAAAAGGAATTCTCTATTTGATTATTTAAAAAGTTAGAGGAAAGAGGAAAGTTTTCGTTTATTTTCTTTTTTATTTTACCTCTCAACCAAACATAGACTTAAGATATTTTCTCACCTCAAAATACATTAGGCTTTTTCTTTGCCTTAAAATTAATCCTTTTTTAGTACCCCATCCATTCAACAATTCTAATTCTAGTTTGATTTTTTAAAATTTTTTGATAAAAAATTTTGAATAAAAATTTAACATCGTATATAAATATTAAAAAATTTTTAATCAAATAAATTTATTAAACAAGAATTACATATAATAAAAAGAAAATTTTTAATTATTTGCATTTATTTGATATGTTAAATTTTTAATTAATTTTTTATTTTAAAAGTAAAAAAGTGAAGTTAATTCAAGTAAAATTGAAATGAAAAGATTACAATTTTAAAAAGAATAATACTAAAAGAGATGAATTTTATAAGACTAAAAGTTAGAACTAATAACATGACATAAGTCATATCATTTAAAATATTAAAAAAATAAATATCATATTATTTAATAATTAATTCTTTTTAACATACTGAAATCTATAATATTATATACACTAATTTATTTAATTATATATTATATCATTAATCTTAAAATTTTTTCCTCTCTATCACTACTCTTTTAAAACTACATCCCACATTAATTCTGGGTATTTGAGTCATTCTTAAATTTTCTTGAGCTATTGTCCTAAAGTTAAACCTTGAATTTTTTATTACTATTTAAAAAATTACACATTTCTAATATATGTTTATTTTTCTCTTGTTTTGTTTCACATCCACATATAAAAATACCCAAGTAAATCTTGGGCAAGGTTATCTCTACAAGAAAATTGTTAAATTTACTAAAATTATATTTCTTTATTTAATTTTAATAAATTTAGTTTTTTTAGGCATTTAAAATTAATTAATTATTTAAATATCATTTGATAGGTTTATTTACTTTTTATCCTCGTTTTAAAAAATAATTACAATATATATTAAATGAAAAATTTTATCTTAATGATATTTAATTAAGAATAAATATGAAAATTTATTAATAATTTATTATATCTTTATTTATTAGATAAAAAATTAAGTCTATTAAAAATAAAATATAAAATATTATTTTTAAAATATTAATTCTATTTAATTGATAAAAATAATAAATAATTATAAATATTAATTAATAACTAATAAAATAATTAATATTTATTAATAAATAAATTAAAATCAATTAATAAATTAATATTTTCAAACACTACTTAAAAATAAAAACTAAAATTTTGATGAAGTCAATATTTTTTATAACCACATCAGTAAAATTTCAAATTACAGCAATACACGATAGCAGATAAGAATACGTATGGATAGAGTCAGAGGGGTAGACACGCGTCATTGAGGGCGGCACCAAATCCTATTGACTTCATCTCTCAATTCATCCGGCCTCCTTTACACCTATATATACGGGGTCCATCGTTCCCTTTGAATCCACAACTTCGCTTTCTGTTCTCAGAGTCCACTCCCCCATCTCCATCACAGCTTGCTTTCTCTCAAAAGTGTTTGAACCTCCATCTTTTACTTTTCTTAAGGAAAATAAACAATGGGTAGATCTCCTTGCTGCGATAAGAATGGACTCAAGAGAGGCCCTTGGATACCTGAGGAAGACATGAAGCTTATCACTTATATTCAGACTCACGGCCCTGGAAACTGGCGTACCCTACCCAAGAATGCCGGTAAGCCAAGTTAACGAGTACTAGCTCGGATAAAGAGCCTGAGCTCTCTTGTTAGTTCATTTCTTACATGTTTATTTAATTTTTGTGCACAGGACTCCAAAGATGTGGGAAGAGCTGCCGTCTGCGATGGACTAATTACCTCCGACCGGATATCAAGAGGGGAAGGTTCTCTTTTGAAGAAGAAGAGACCATAATACAACTTCACAGTGTTCTAGGAAACAAGTACCTCCAGATACAATTTTTTTTTTTTCTATAATTTTGATTCATATTTTCAGAATCATCCATGGAAGTTAGGTTATCAACTAAATAGTATTTTTTTTTTCTTTTACTGGTAAATATTAGGTGGTCAGCTATTGCTGCTCGCTTGCCGGGAAGAACTGACAACGAAATCAAGAATTTCTGGAACACCCACATCAGAAAAAGGCTTCTGAGAAATGGGATCGATCCCGTAACTCATGCTCCTCGACTCGATCTTCTTGATCTTTCCTCCATTCTGAGCTCAACTCTCTGTAACCAGTCTCTTCTTGGCTTATCAAGCTTGTTAGGAACTGAAGCTCTCTTGAATCCTGAAATGCTAAGGCTTGTAAACACTCTTTTAGCTCTAAATAAACAAGAAAACCCAGAAACGCTATTGCAGCAGTATCTACAGCAAAATCAGTTTCAGGCCGCTCAGACACCTCAGGAGGTTCCGACATGCACCACGTCTACGGCACCTTCTATGAACCAAGCGCAGCTAATGCAAGGGGAAGTTTTGCAATCGGAGATGGGGAATTTTGGATGCCAAAATTGCCAACAGAATATGGCACCTTCGAGTTTGGGTGATAATTATAATTTTGTATCCCAACCGAACCATGTACCGCTTATGTCTGAAAACTCGAACTTTCAGTTTCTGGATGGAAGCCATAATTTCAGCTTTGATTCTGTCATGTCGACTCCTATGTCGAGTCCAACGCCGTTGAATTCGCCATCGTTCATCAATGGTAGCAGCACTGAGGACGAGAGAGAAAGCTTCAGCAGCTTGCTGAAGTTTGAAATTCCAGAGAGTTTAGATATTAGTGATTTTATGTAAATAGATATGGTTAATTAATAATAGTCTGGTTTGTTTGTAAACTAAATGAACTCTATTGTTTGTTCTTGTAATTTTGGCCTTCTTAATTTTTTTAACTTGGTCCTGGTCTATTGTTTTGTATTAGTTTAAAAAAAAAAAAAAACAAAATAAAAGAGAAATTATTTGGTTTTTTAAAATAATTCCAACTCATTTTTTGCACTTAACCCTTAAGATCTAATAATACTAGTTATTAAAAAGCACATCTCTATATCTCGGCGCGATAAAAAACCAAACCACAAAAAAAAACAAAAAAAAAAAAATCGATCTCATTTTTTTAAAAGATAATAATTATGAGAGTTTGCAATAATTCTCCATAGTCAACGTACCATGATTAAGTACAAATTAGTTTGAATATGATTCATCAAATAATACACAAAATTGAACATGACTCTATGCGTGTGGGTCCAAGTAATTCTAATAATTTTTGTAAGGTTCATATCTTCCTGTTAAAGGCAATCATTCAAGCTGCCCATAATTAAAATGTTCATGAAAAAAAAAATACACAAAATTGTTCCTTGAAAATCCCCATCCCACTTCCCCAAAATTGTAAAAGGTTCAAAAAAAAAAAAAAACAAAATTGTTGAATAATTCACTCCGCCCCAATAGCATGGACTTTGAATTATAACTATTCACTTTTTTGTAGTTACGTGTTCCCACGGAATCCCTTTTTTTTCTTTTCTTATTTAATACATGTAATACATGTAAATAATTTTAATTTATTAAAAAAAATACATAAAATTATTTGTAAGGTATGCATTCTCAAAATTATTGTATTAAAATTATGTAATTTTAAAATATATTATTAAAAGATTAAATTTGAGATGTATATAAAAAGAGAATGATATGAAAACACTAGCTACTATATATGAATGTCCAGAAAATTGAAGGCCATAACAGTCTGGAGACCACTAGGCCAAGGATTCTCTTGAAAATTAAATAGGGAAGGACATGAGGGGGAAAACGCCTCTTCTATCTTGGCATGCACAACTAAAATATATGATAGAATAATAATTGGTGTATTTTTTTATTTAATATATCAAAAAAACTGTGTGACGGTCCACTTTGTGGTGGACTATAACATCACAACCATTAAAGGGGGAGAGCCCCTTGATGTTGCCCTCCTCTCCCTTGTTAAAGGTTATGATGTTACAATCTGCCACAAATTAAGTGGATTGTAACATAGGATTCTGTTAATATATTTTATAATATATTTATTAAAAAATTATTATTTTTAAATTTAAATTCAAAATAGGAAAAATTTTATTTGTAAAATTTAATGAACCGAAGAGTATACTAATCTTTACTTTATATGATATTTTTGTATATAGATTAGATTAATATATTTTATAATATATTTATTAAAAAATTATTATTTTTAAATTTAAATTCAAAACAGGAAAAATTTTATTTGTAAAATTTAATGAACCGAAGAGTATACTAATCTTTACTTTATATGATATTTTTGTATATAGATTAGATGTATATATGAGAATTTGAAAGTTGCAACAACTGAAGATTTAGATGAACCCTAATAATGGTTTGATTAGGTGAAACAACCAAATTGATGGAGGAAAATGAAAGGACTTGTATATGGTCGGCAAGCTGTTGAATGAAGTTAAATTAAAATGTGTCATTTCAAAATTTTTTTTAATAGTAATAAAATAGTATAGAAATAGAACACATCATAACTTTAAAACCAATTAATTTGGAGTTATGTGAAATTCTATATATACCATTTAGCTTATGTACATAGAGACAATGTGAAACAAACACCCCATAATTAGGGGAGGGGTCCTCATGTTGTCTCAAAATTAAGTAATTAATAAGAGAGAAAATTAATTACAAGTTTTTAACTAATCTTTTGGTACATGATTATAGATTATAATGCCACATATCTTATCTGATTTAATTAATATTGTTAACATAATATATTGAAACCATGTTATTGATCATAAAAATAGTATATATGAAGTTAGTTTGTCTACATTTTAAGAACGATCAAAAAACAATTTTTTTCTACATTTTAAGAAAGTAATATACAACAGTATTTTTTAATGAAGTCTACGAAATAGGATAAAGATATGTGCACACCCGGGTCAACACCGGGTGTGCACCAATCAGCATCCTACGAAATAACATCATAAAACAACATGTGTCTTCTATTAGATTTATTACCTTCGCTCTTTTAAAGATTTGAAATTTTTGGAGGTAAGAAACTGAAAGAATGGAGTTGGATTGCTAATAGTGAAAGACTGACAATAATTGTCGAAATCAAGGAGAGAGAAGCTGAGGAGGAAGACGGGAACATGAAATTTTTTTTTTTTTTCCAGTTTTCAACAATTACTGATCCATGCTTGGAAATGTAATGGCATAGGCAGTGAAACCACCATCCTCATTGATCCATAATTAAAGTTGAAGATAAAATATAAAATTAAATTAAAGTATTTGAATCCATTTAATTATTTGAGTTTAATGTAATTATTGAGTTTTAAGGAATTAGGTTTTTAATAGATTAAGTTTTAATAGTGTTTAATTTGAGAGATCCTTTTCTCTTTTCTTAAATAGAATAAGTTATAAAAATATTAAAATTAAGTATTTTTAAATATTTTATTGGTCTCAATTTTAATTATTTAAAGATTTAAAGAAAAGATGTAATAATTCTCTTCTTTGACGTAATCCCTTTGACCGGCTCAATAAGTTTTTTAGTTGAAAATTAGGATCTATTCTTTGATCTTCTCAAATATTCCCTACTTTTTCTTTTTCCTTTTTTTTTGGACAAAGGGGAATGTGAGGAAGAGAAAAAATACAAGAAAATAATAAAGAAAAAAATTAAAAAAGTTTAAGTTGTTCACCAAAGATTATTTAACATCCTCCCTAAAAACAAATCCATTTGGAGGCCTACTTGAAGTCCAGAATATTCCCCAATTCTTAAAAAAAAAAATGGAACTCCCTGAATTTCATTTTGATCATGCAACACCGTCAACACCGTAATTATGTTCCTCTCTGCCTTCATTTTCAAACAAAGGGTTCCAAGTTCCAACTCCATTTCAATGCTACACAAAAAGTACTATTTTGTCGTTATGTACATTTTCCTTTCCAAATCAATCATAATTTCCTTGAATTATAAGCTTTTCTTCTAAGAAACGGGCCGGAAAGGAGTTTTCTACTTATAATTTCTTTGTGACTATGCAGACAGATTTGTTGACTCTCGGTTTTCTTCTCAACTTGAGTTTGGGATTCATCTCGGTCATCAATTACGTTATCCCTTCTTTATTTGTGGCCAATCTCTTTACACCTTTCCGTGTTGAGATATAAAAATGCATTATAATTTGTTTACCCTTTCTCAGAACACATCATTTTGTGGTCGTTAATTGTCATTTCAGCCAGGAAAGCTTATCTGGTGGCTCAAGGCAAGCGAAAAAAAAAAAAAAGAAAGGTCTTAATTCCTCTAAGAAGTGTAGGGCCAGGAAGGAATGATCAAACCATAAATTTCCAAGTACCAACAGTATTGTAAAGAACCTGAAAGCATGACGTATATTGTTAGAGATAATATGAATCAATTAGTGTTTGGATTAGAAAATAATAATATGAATCCCCCACTCTTTTTTTGCTGCCTCTTTTACCTTAGTCAATAATTACCTCTTCTCTTTCCACGGTTAAAGTGGATGAATAAAGATGGAGTTTACGCCCACTATTTTGAGGGTTTCTCCACTTAATTTTAAGAGTTTTTATCTATTTAAAGTAGTGTTGTTGATTTCCTTTCATATCAGTAAGTATGATAAGTACATATTCATTTTTTATTAATTTAAAATGGTATAAGGTTTAATATTATTTCAGTTAAATTTTGTCCATTTCAATCAAATTTTAATGTACCAGCTAATATTTTGATCTATCAGTTGGTACACCAAGACTTGGCAAGTACAAATCAATTTAAATTTTAAAAAAATAAATTCCATTTTTGATTCTCAACTTCAATGTTTTGCATAATTTTTATCCTATAATTTTTTTATGCACTTTTTTAATCCATCAACTATAAAAAAAATGCATTTTTTAGTTTTTCTATCAATTATTTTGTTAAATTTGTCTAAATATGTACATGTTTAGTCCCTTAACTTAAAGTGGAGAAATGAAAAATATGCATATGTTAGAAGTTGAGGGACTAAAAATATGTATTTTTAATCCCTTTTGACAATTTCAGATTTAAACTTTTACATTTTAGTGCTCGTCAATTGTTGCTCTCTCTTCTCAGTAATATTTTGATTTATCTTTTGTATTCTTGTTGCACTTAAAAGACATGATTTCTTATCTTGTGAAAGTATTTTGTATTGTGAATTATATAATATTAAACTCAAAACACTATTATGCTTTCTAATATTATCTTAATGTTCAAAAAAAAGGAAAAATATTATGAATATTTTATAAAGTTAGTCATTTTAAATTTGTTTTTAATTTATAAAAATATAATGATTTTAAACATTAGTTTCTCTTATCATTATTTTAAAATTTGATATTTAATTTATAAAAATATATATTTATAACAATAAATTTGAAACGGTATACGAAAATTTCTATATTCGGTACGTATAGTTCCAGAAACAAAACTGATACGTATGCTGGTATGGTATTGATAATTTTGATTTAAAGGCTTTTTGTGGAAGAGAAAGGCAATGTGGATGGGGGTGGCTGGACTTAAGTTAATATAGCAATTGCTTAAGCTATCACGACATGGTCGGGGTGGGAACCCTTGCTAATTTTTCTACCCAAAAACTCGAGTTGAAAAATTGCTAATTTTTCAAATAAGAACCCTAAACTAATTTAAATTAATATTTTATATATTTTACTATGGTAAAAAAGCAAACAAACATACAATTACATCATAACATAATGCAGCATAGTATAACATTAACAAACAAAACTTTAGTCGACAAAGTATTATATGAAAGATTGAAATTACAGTATAGACAGTCAATAAGTTATATAATGAAATTGGATACTAATATATATACCCTTAAAAAGTTACACACT